CATTTAAAGGTATACAAGTAGAAAACAAATATGTTTGCCATATATAACCTAGATTAACATATTTAATTATAACAAATGAGGATTTACAAAATGTAGTAAAATAAACTCTAATTATATATGCGAACATAGCATGGCCGACTTATCGCGTAAACATGAATATACCGTGCGAATTACAAAGTTATACGCAACGAATGCAAGATAAGCATGAATGTAAGGTACGCTATCGGGTAACGAAAACGACAGTATGAATCCGTTACATCAAACACACACATGGTTGTACTCACCAGCTAAGGAAGAAAAATAAATATAAAATGTGACGATACACAGAAAAAATTTAGTATAAAAATACCGGCCGATTAACCTCACGAGGAAACTGTCAAATTAAAACGGAGGATATGACATTGGAGACAAAAGAGACGACTTACGTAACGAACATAGATACATATTTACCGAATTTTAATATTGCACCGTCACAAGACGAGGACATGAGAATACTCGTCACATTAAATAATCTAACACAACACAACGCAGAATTAATAGAATTACGAACGAAGATAAACAACATAGACAATGATTTACAGATAATGAACAAAGTTTTATACAAGAAAACAATTTATTTATCCCATGACCTCGAGCGGATTAGTAATAATCATAATTATAATATTTGTCATTGTCATTGTAATTTGGAAAGTAAAAAATAGAAAAGACATTAAAAGAAGACCAAGAGTGACGATACTCGACGATGACTGGGATGTACCTAGATCTATATTAAAAAGAAGTAATAGTACGCGTTTTTAGGAAATAGGAAACGATTATAATTATATTGTGAACGGGATAAACATTTGTAAGCTTTAGTTGTAAGCGAAAACTTCATACCTTCGTTTTTCTTCTTAACGGGGAAGGATGTTATATCCCCCAAGATATACAATAGATATAACTATTAAAAGGTAACTAATATTAAGAAATGAGTACTAGTATTACATCCGCAATTACGACAGACACTGACCGCGTTAAAAACGCATACGATGCGAGGTATACGCGGAATCAGAATTACGACAGATAATGACCGCGTTAAAAACGCATACAATGCGAGATATACGCGGAACAGAAATTGGTCAACGTGCAAGCAAAGCAGAAGGACTTTGAATCTGCTTCGCTTGCACCTAGATTCTCGACCGGGGAAACCTGTTGCCAGGCACCCCTTCCGATCGGGGAAAACTCCAAAAAACAACGATATAAAAAGAGAGTAGAGACGCGACAACTCGCTCAGTCGCAGACACAAATAATCGCTCTAACCACGATCTCGCTAACCGCGCGCGCACTTAGCATCGACTCGCAGTTGTGCGCGATACGCGGAGTAATAGAAAGTCAGTGCCGCACACACGGTAAAGCTTCAGTGTATTATTAGTGAAATAAAATAAAGACCAAGTGGTCGAAGTTGAATACAGAATTTTAATACAAAAAGTGTAGTGCATTTTCTACAAACACCCGACAAGTCCTGACGCCCCGGATTCCCATCCCAATTTGGCGCGACCCTTAAGTGTCTCTCCCGAGGCACACAACATACCTATGAATTCATTTTTGGGAATCTTTGTGTGTGACTCTATAAAATGCCATCTATTATTGATACCGTTTAATGCAAGATCTACGGAAACATTAGTAAATGATGAAACAACGTCCAATGAAACTATTATGTCGGAATCTTGTAGTGTTTTCCCTGATAGAATTCCCTGAAAAGATTTCATCAACAAAAAAGAATATTATTATTTATTTTCAAGCGACTCCCTTCTTCCTAAAGCCTATGGGCTCCCCAAGATCCACAAGGAAAATATTCCTTTTAGATTAATAGTTTCCTCAATAAATACTTCTCTATATAATATTGCTTCCTTCTTTCATAAAATTTTAAAAGATAGCCTTCCTAGAGCTGACAGTTTTGTGAATAACAGTTTCGATATATGCAACATTCTATCAGGGAAAACACTACAAGATTCCGACATAATAGTTTCATTGGACGTTGTTTCATCATTTACTAATGTTTCCGTAGATCTTGCATTAAACGGTATCAATAATAGATGGCATTTTATAGAGTCACACACAAAGATTCCCAAAAATAAATTCATAGGTATGATAAAATTTATATTAACTTCTACATTTTTCACTTTCAATAACATAACTTACAAACAAATTTATGGGACTCCTATGGGTTCCCCACTTTCTCCGATCATTGCCGATATAGTCATGCAGGACTTGGAAACATTGGTAATTAGTAATTTAAATTGCGAAATGACTTTTTATTTCCGTTATGTAGACGACATTATTTTATGCACTTCCGCTGACAATATTACATATGTTTTGAACGAATTCAACAATTATAACGATAGACTACAATTTACATTGGAAAAAGAGGATAATCGGTGTATAAGCTTTTTAGACATAATGATCAAAGTAATAGATAATAAAATTTATTTAGATTGGTATCACAAAAAGACATTCTCAGGTAGATTACTTTCATTTTTTCAAATCATCCGACTTGTCATAAAATAGGAACAATTTATAACTTGGTAGATAGAGCTTTATTACTATCACATCCGCAATTTCACAAAAAAATATAGAGAAAGCTATTAACATTTTGCTATCCAACGGTTATCCTCTTAATCTAATTTTCACAGAAATAAAACGCAGATTAAAAATCTCTCAACTAAGAAATTTAACAAGCCTAATAATAACAATATAACAGATACTAATAATACTAATACTAACATTAAATATTTTGTCATACCATATATAGAATCAATATCTGAGAAAGTTGCTTCAGCAATAAGAAGACCTGACGTAGTGGTAGGATATCGTTGCATTAAAAATTGAATGACTTCATAAAAGTTCAAAAGGACAGAAATAATTGCCCCACGAATTCTAATGTTATTTATAAATTGAATTGCAACGATTGTGACGCCACATATGTCGGACAGACAAAAAGACAGTTAGGAACGAGACTTAAAGAACATAAAAATAATATTAAATTAGACTCTGCTAAACATTCGGTTGTCACGGAACACATTCTAAACGAACAACATACATTTGACTGGGACAATATTAAAATTATGGATCATGAAAAGAATTACCATAAAAGGCTAATATCTGAAATGATCCACATTAAAGAACAGAAAAATGGAATTAATTTAAATAAAGACACCGAATTGTTAGACAGTAGTTATTTTGACATACTTAAAAAATTTGCTGAATCATAGTTTAGAAAAAACATTGGTAATAAATAAATACATCACGCTCTCTATTTTGACATTTGTTATTCAGACTTCGCAACACACACTTGAAATATCAGGAAAAAGGACTTGTTAAAACGATAATGTAAGTTGAAAGATTTTTAATTTTCTCTGACATTGATTTAATTCGCGTATTATATCCGCAGCATGTTTAAATGTCGCATAACTTGGCATCTCAGACCAATCGCCTTGCACATCTATTGGTCAACAGCGAAGAATCGTTTTAATTTTATATTTTAATATTTAACTAACTTTGTATTTTTAACATTTAACTTTGTATTTTAATATTTAACTTTTATGTATTGATAAAGACTGTAGTGCAGTCGAAACGTTTACAATTTATATCGTTTCTGTAACGAAATGTTAATTTAATTATTTAACTATTAATAAATTTTTACATCTTATTTATTTGCTCGTTCAGTTGGTCTACTATATTTGATTTGTTTAATTTTATTAGAGGAAGCTTAAAAATCTCTTCAAATTACGTTTCACATCTGAAAGTGAGTTTCTTTAATTTTCAATTTTTAAAAATACTTTTTAAATAAATATATACATACATATGTAGAATAAAATGTGAAGAGAGAGAGAGAGAGGGGAAAGAGATTTATTTCATATAATTATTTTTATGTTTTTATAGAGAAAACATCCTGATTTATTTCCCGAATATGAAGCTCACAAAAAGCCAAACGGGAATGCATGGAAAAATTTAATACCATTCGCAGAACAACTTGCGCTTTCTCGCAAGAAGTGTTCGAGAATAATATTGTTCATTTTATATTAGAGAGTATATCACCATTTAACATTGTTGAGCTTCCAGCGTTCCGACAAATGTTTGACAGTGAGTAAATTTTTCTTATAAATTCTTTTTTCAATCATTAATGTATTTGCAACCTCTAAAAATACAATTTATATTATATAGGCTTCAGAATAAAGCATGGAGACGAACCTCTGCGCCATATAACTCGCAAAATTGTAAAAAAAAATTAATATGATTCACAATGAACATATGGAAATCATAAAAAACGAACTAAAAAATGTTAAATATGTTTGCACTACAGCGGATGTGTGGACTGCACCCGATCGTAGAATTCTCGGTGTTACAGCTCATTGGGTAAATATCCCTGAACTTCAAAATTATCAAGATTAAAACTCACTATGTCTAATATTATACTAATTGTTTTTTATAGCTTTGTGAGAAAACCTTGAAGAGAAAATCTGCTGCTCTAGCTTGTAAAAGAATAGAAGGAACTCATTCAGCTGAAATCGTGGCTACTGAATTAGATAAAATAAACGAATTATTTGAATTAAATTATAAAAAAATAGTTGCGACAGTTACTGACAATGGATCAAATTTTGTCAAAGCTTTTAAAATGTTTGGTATAAGCAGCTGCACTATTTTGAAAGATGGTCCATCAAACGTGGCAAATATAGATGAATTGGAAAAAACACAAATGAATGACCCTGAAGAAACTGAAATGAGTGACGATGAAATTAATGAGATAGATGAGGATTATGGTGACACTAATTATGATATTAATGATAATTATAATGATAATGATAATAATGCTAATAATGATGATAATGGTGATAATGATGATAATAATGACAATGGTGATAATTCTATAGATAACGAGGAAATAAGTGATGAAATCAATATCATTTTGCCTTGACATCTGAGATGTGCAAGTCACACATTACATCTTATAGCTTCAAGTGATGCGATAAAAATAATAAAAGAGGATTCTAGATTAAAACGCTTGCACGAAGAGACGATCCAAGAATGCGAAAAGCTTTGGAAGAAATTGAGATCATCTAAGAAGCGTGAAGCTCTAAAAAGTATTTGAATTGTGCATTAAAACGTCCTGTTGCAACTAGATGGAATTCTTTATATGATTGTCTCAAGCAAATAATATCATTAGAAAAAAAATTGACTGATGTTAATGTACAACGATGTATCGATTTTGAAATCAATATCAGGGAACATCATTTTCGATACATCAAAGATTATTTAATATGTATGAAACCTTTAGCTATTGGAATTGATAAAATTCAAGCCGAGACTACATGTTATTATGGTTGCTTAGTGCCACTTTTATTAAGCATAAATAATAAATGGACAACAATGCTTAGAAGCAACGAACTTACATATTGTAAAAAGTTGGCAGAAGGAATGCAGTTACATTTATTAGATAGATTTAAAGATTTTTTTGAAATTCATGGACAAGGAGAAGCTGCTGCTCTTGTTGCGATAACACATCCACAATTTAAAGATAGATGGTTAGTTTGCCTAAATGACGATAAAAACAGAAAAGTGCAATTGATCAACATAGCATTTAATAATAATGAAAATTTTGAAGTTCCAGAAGAAAACATGGACTCAAAATTAGATGATTTTTATGATTTTGGCAAAGACGTTACGCAGTCTAATAGAAAATCGCAAATTTTTACATGCCAAGGGGAGAATTCGCTAGAAATATTACAATTTCTAAACAACCCAATTAAGACCTTGGATGTATTAGATCGATATCCACAAGTTAAACAATTATTTATTAAATATAATACTTGCTTACCTTCGTCAGCGCCAGTAGAGAGACTTTTTTCGTACGCTACTATGATTAATGTAGCTAAATATAATAGATTAACAGACGATTCCTTCGAAAAAAAAGTTATAGCCGCTGCAAATGGGAGAACAAAGCGTAAATAATATAATTACATATGAGAGAGAGAAAGAGAGAGAGAGAGAGAGAGAGAGAGAGAGAGAGAGACATATAAGAGTAAATTTAATTATATTTAATGTTAATATATATTGCATGTTTCTCGAATTTTTTTTATTTGTTCTAAAATAATAAATGTATAATGAATTAAAAATGTTCTGAATAAAAATATGGTTTAAAAACGTAAATTATTTATTATTGGTATTGTAACTATTACGTACAATAACTTTGCTAGAACCAAGAAAAAGATATATATTATTTAAATTCAGTCATATTAATATCATCTATCAAACATCTTCGATTAAAATTAAAATTTTATTAATTGTTACACATTGTTAATTAATGAAAATAGAGAAATTATATCGATTTTCTTAAGTCAATTATTAATGGAAGAGATTCGCATTAAATTTGCTATATTTAATCGTCAATTATATATTTTTTAATTGTTTCTGCTCAAATCAATTGTCAATTGAATTGTCTTCAATTGAATCTGTTTTTTTCAATCGTCCATTAAAGTAATTCTAATTAAAATTAACTCATTAATCGTTTAATTGAAAAATTTTAATTAAATTAGCTTGTATTAATCGTTTAATCGATCGCTCTCCGATTAATTTCGTTTATATCAATTGTCAATTAAATAATCTTCAATTGACTTCGATCATATTAATTGTTAATTAAGCGATCTTCGATTAATCTAGCTTATATCAATCGTTATTGTAACGATCTCTAATTAATCTTTCTAAAATTCATCGTCAATTAAAAATATTTTAATTAAATCTGTTCATATCATTTGTTCAATTATAAAAATCTAATTGATATTTTGCCATCTCTGATTCCAATATAATACAGATTCATTGTAAAAAGATAAATAAAATATATTAACAAGACTAGTTAAAAACGTATAATGTGAGTAATAATTCTGAGTAACTAATCTTGAGTAATTTTTTTTTTGAAAGCCGTTTATCATATATATATATATATATATATATATATATATATATATATGAATCACAATTATGCTACTATTAATCAGCTTCAAAATATTACAATCTTTTAATAAAAAATTTATATATTTTATCACAATTTATATGTAATATTTCGGCTTTATAACTCGCTAAACATTTTGGCTATTTATGTTTCATTTACATTATATATATATATGTATAATGTGAATGTATGACATATGTAAATAATATATGTAAATGTATATATATGTATAATGTAAAATTCATACCTTGTTTTTGGTGTATTATGGACTCTGCTTTATGGAGCTGCGTTATAGAATCAGCGTTGTGGAGTCTACCTGTTACATATTTAAACTTTGCTTCCTGAAAAGATACAAAGATTAAATTATGTAGCATTACTGAAAACATTACTCAATAATGTAACGGAGTAATGTATTCTGCTACAAGTTCGAGGTTACTTGTAAGCAGATGGCAAAATAATAATTAATTTAGGCATTTAATGCAAAAAAATGTAATGATATAATAGCCGATTAAACTTAATGTGTATTCGCATATCATCGTTGTATATTAATGTAGACAGAAAACATACACCATTGCATATCAAATTTTTGATCTGTCTACAGTAGTCTACATTAAGATGCAACGACGATATACAGATACACATTAAGTTGATTTTGTTATTATATATCATTACATCTTTTTTGCATAAAATGCTTAATAAATTCTTAATTTGCCATGTTCTTACAATTAACCTCAAACTTGCAGAATATTTTGTGTCACACATATTATATTATAACAAAATGTTATAAAAATATTTTTCATGTTTTATATATCTTTAAAAAAAGAATTTACATACAAGATAAAAGAGATTACCTTATTTAATCAAAGTTACGCTTTCGTTCTCCTCGCCCGTCGCCCATGCGGTCGCCCGTCGCCCATGCGGTTGCCTGTCGCCTGTCGGCAGCAAAAATAATAGAGAATATTCGGCTTGGAACTGCGGAATATGCAAATACATTTAGAAAGCGTAATCCCGCGTAACTCAAATTATATAACACTAATTCTTTAATTATAATAAAATAATATATACAGTATTATTATTTTTATAATTTAATTTAATATATGTCTATTAAAAATCTTTTAAAAATTTGTTTTAAGATGTCTTTAACATGTGATGTATAATAGATATCTTTTAAAAATACATTAAAGACATCTTTTAAAAGAAATTATCTAGATATCTTTAATATGTATATTACATAATATGTTAAAGATATCATTTAAAATGTCTTTTCAGATATTTAAAGGTATCTTTTAGAAAATTCTACAAAGGAATCTTTTAGGAAATTCTACAAAGAAATCTTGAATAAAGTATTTTTAGACATCTTTTAGATATCTCCTGGATATCTTTTAGAAATATCTTGAAGATTTCTTTAATGAGATATCTTTTAGATTTTTACAAGATTTCGATGTTTACTAGGTAATTTCTTTTTTTCCATATATGTAAAATAAAAATTGATAAATCTTGATAAAATATGTCATGAATATATGTCAAATTTTTTTGTAAACATAAGTTAAAATAAGTAAGGAAACATACCGCCACTCCTCCGCCACTGTCTTGATTTGTTCTTCATTGATACATACATCTTTTGCCTTTTTACGGATAAATTCCACCGCCTTCAATAATTCCATCACATCATATAGTCACTGCTGGTACCCTCGGCCATGACTTTACGTTATAGAATTTAATTAATTCGTAACAAATGTTGATATTTGCAATTGTTTCAGACCGTCGACTATCTGTGACTGTGGTTCCTGTTATACTGATCTTACGTAAATTGCCTGCAAGGAAGATAAACTCGACATGTACAAGGTCGTAAACCTAAACGTAGGCTGTTTATGGCTCGCTTTCGAAATTTTGTCGGTCACGCTTGTATTTTCTTTTAAATTTCTTATAGATACACATTCCTTTACTAATTGTAAAATAAAATAAAAATCTAATTTTAATTTTACAAAGTATTAATTTTACTTATTATTATTTAATATCGCCATGCGATAATTCGCGAACTCTACTGTAATATTATTACCAATGATGCCTTTTTCTTACCGTATATTACTTCGTCTCCATATGACTCGAATTCATCGAAAAGTAATTTCAACAATTTATCTGCTTTGTAATTGGATGATCTCAGACATTCCACAAAAGTACCTGTAACAATAATTATAATATTTTATTTTAACAACATATATGACAAATTTTTAATGAGTATAAATTTTTTATAAATATAAAATATGTAAATCCTGTGACATTTACATTTAATTACAAAATTCAAATCCTTTCTATCAAGGAAAGAACTCTACTTTTTTTATAAATATAAAATATGTAAATCCTGTGACATTTACATTTAATTACAAAATTCAAGTCTATTCTATCGAGGAAAGGACTCTACTCTATCTAACTCTTCGTCACACCTACACTCGCGGTCGCGACAAACTGTCGAATCTGTCAACTCACGTTTAACAGCCGGGCAAATTCGGCAAGTAGGGTGTACTACGTGCGACAGCCAACGGGCCTCCTTAATCCGCACCGCCACTTCCGAACTCGTGCGCCCGCTCGTCCGCATTCCGGGCGTGAATAACGCGGACCCGCCGTCCGCCGGCACGTAAAACATTTCTCGACACTCACTACACAATCATCACATCATCCACCGTAATATTTGTCGCACCTTATTCGTCTCATCCATCACCGCACTCACAATTATCTCATTATCGCCGCGCACTGCACTACACACTCGCCATTTCACATCACCACGTGTTTTCATCGTCTCAAATCGACTCAGCTGATCGTTTCACGCAATCATCACATGTATCTCGCCGCGCCGGCGCGCGTCTACCCCACCATCGATTCGCTATCGACTTGCGATTCCGCGGCCGAAATTCACCAACATCAGGGCCGAGGAATTATGGCGCCCCGGGCATGAGACCCAAATGTCGCCCCCTATTTTTTCTTTTGTAGCTTTCTCGGTCGCGTTTGCTCTTTGCATTACCCGGAATCACGATTTGCACGGAATACGTGCAAAAATCCACCTGTGAACACTAGTCCAGGAAAATTCGACTTTTACATCGGAAAAATTAGTAACAGGCTAAAAATTTGCACACAGCTTGGCATTAGGGTTGTAAATAATATGTCAAATATCCCCAACGATCCGAGTGCCGCTAGGTCAATTACGCGGGGTCAAAGGTCGCAAAAAACGGTTTTTTGCAAGTATCTCGAAAACGGTGGACTTTTCGACAAAAAACATTCAATACTAATTTGTAGCTGAGATAATTTACTACGAAAATGGTCTAAAAATCTTTTTTCGTAGGAGTAACCATTTATGAGATATAGCGCTCCAAAGGATCGCGAATGTTATGTTAATAACTATATGCACTCTCTTCCACATCACCTTAGAGGTAGAGTACTAGATGCGTTTTTTTTTAATACGTGGTATCCCCAGTAGGCCTAATCCACGGTTTTTTGATTTTTTTTTTGAATTAATTTTTTTGAATTAATTTTTTTGAATTTATTTTTTAATTTATTTTTTAAATTTATTTTTTTGAATTTATTATTTTTTGAATTTATGATGAGCTGGGTGCATTGAGGGTCTCATCCTCAATTTTTGATCTCAAAAAATCACGTAGCCTTACTACCACGATATTTCCTACTTATATATATACTTATATAGTATATATAAACATATACGCACTGTGAATGAGTGTGCGGAGTCATTAACAATTCCTCGTATCTCATAAACGGTTACTCCTACGAAAAAAGATTTTTAGACCATTTTTGTAGTAAATTATCTCAGCTACAAGTTAGTATTGAATGTTTTTTGTCGAAGAGTCCACCGTTTTCGAGATATTTGCAAAAAACCGTTTTTCGCGACCTTTGACCCCGCGTAATTGACCTAGCGGCACTCGGATCGTTGGGGATATTTGACATATTATTTACAACCCTAATGCCAAGCTGTGTGTAAATTTTTAGCCTGTTACTAATTTTTCCGAACTTTGACGATTTTTTGGTCGAATTTTCCTGGACTACACAGATCTCAGCGCCCCCCATGCCCTGGCGCCCCGGGCGGTTGCCCAGGTCGCTCATCCCACAGGCCGCTCCTGACCAACATACTAGGTTTGTTCGCGTTGCATGCCCCAACTTGCTCCTTTTTACTTCAATGCGCTCGTATTGGTCCAATTCGAGGAGTGCACCAATACGAGCGCATTGGAGTAAGAAGGAGCATGTTGGGGCATGCGACGCGAACAAACCTGTTGTCACTTCGCGACAAGGCGGGCGGGAATGTTCAAAACGCATAATAGAATATTATACGCATAATAAAATATTATACGCGAATAGAATATTCCAGAATATTCTAGACCGATCGATATTGAAATTCACAACAAATAGTTCCATCGTTTTTCTATGTTTTTCAAAAAAAAAACAACGCGTCATAAATCAATCTGTCATCAAAAAACCTATCAAAAATATAAACAATTAACGCTCATACAGCACCGATAGATTGTAAAAACATTACAACAATCTTTCACCGCAATATTGCAATATTTGCAAATTTACTGCAAAATGTTGCTACATCATTGCTGTTGAATTGCAGCAATGTTAAAATGTCCGCTTTTTGGAAGATTGCAACAAAATATTACAACAATATTGCAATATGTTATGAGTTTGCAATAATGCATTGTTATTGCAACCATAAACTAATGTTGCATATACAGGTATATAAATATAAATAAATCATTAATGAAAATACGTTGTAGTTAATTTATATATATTACAATATATAAATTATAGAATTTGGATTACATGCAATATTTCCGAAATATTAATGTCATGTTGCTACAAGTGTGCTGGAATTTTGTGCACTTATATCTCTGCAATGTCTTTATAATGTTGCATTGCAACTTGCAACATTGCAACGTTGCTGCAATATAATTGCAATAATCTGTGCTGTATGGGCGGTATCGTAACCGTTCTGCCGAATAATTATATTACAACGAGCATGCGCGGCTTCTCACGGGCACCTCGATTCATCAAGAGACACGGTAGTGTCTCGCGACCAGTTAAGGGCGTAGCGGAGACACCGTGTATCTTAACGCGAGTCGGACATTTGAGTCTTTATAATATTTCGAATCCTCAATAATGGCTGAAGCAATCGAGTTTATACTAGACTTAATCGATAGATTGAGTTCGAATTATATAATAAAAGTGTCTTTATTTCTGCTCTACGTGATTTGTAAGCAGAGATATATAAATGCAAAGTCGAAATATGAAAAATTTCTATTAAGAAACGTCCCCGTCATCATTATCATCATCATCATTATCATCATCATTATCATCATCGACCACGCATACATAGTAGTATCGTGCTACACGTATTCACACGTATACAACACATGCGCACACATATATCACACGTACACAACACATGCAAGATGCATGTAGTGGTAATTTTGTCCATCTCGCACGTTTTACAACAGATGGCGATAGTGGCGCTCCGCCATATCGGCAGCGTGCGGGGTTATGTTGGCTAACTCTCTCTCTCTCTCTCTCTCTCTCTCTCTCTCTCTCTCTCTCTCTCTCTCTCTCACACGCACACGCACACACACACACACTCTCTCATTCTCACTCACTCACTCACTGTTCGTCTTGTGTACTTATTTAGTACATTCATGATCGGCAGCGTGCGGGGTTATGTTGGCTAACTCTCTCTCTCTCTCTCTCTCTCTCTCTCTCTCTCTCTCTCTCTTTCACACACACACGCACACACACACACACTCTCTCATTCTCACTCACTCACTCACTGTTCGTCTTGTGTACTTATTCAGTACATTCATGATTAAACATCTATATGCATTAATGTGAAATTTACTTACAATTAGTTTACTTGAAATATTCAATCTCTAAAGTGTTTATCTTATAAGATAGACAAAAAAATCTGAGTAAATAATAAGAAAAAAAACAAGGATTATTATTGTCATAATTTTTTATCAATTAAGTACTCTCAACTATCCAATAATTAAATAAATACGTACAAATGTGCGCGCGTGTACACACATACACATATTGATATTAAAGAGATTGAAGGAGAGGAAGGAGAAGATAAAAATTTAAATATTCACATATATTTTCAAATATTATATATGAATTTATAGTTTACATATCTAATTAATAATGAATTTCTAATTATATTAAACATATCAAAATAAAGACATACATGTATTTATCAAATGAATAAAATTATTGAATACAGACTTAAAAAATTTATTAAACATAAACTTAAAAAATTAATTAATTAAACATATTCCAAATTTAGAAAAAATAAACTTTATTTATATATGCAACAGCTTTTTAAACTAAATTTTTAAATTCTATTTTATATTAGACAATTATCTCAATCAACATCTACGTCCACATTAGCTGCACTGCAGACTACCTCTACAGCCACATTATCTGCTCCGCGGATATAGCGTTATGCCAATACGATACATTACATGTACTTACTTACTTGCCTTTACTGTACCAACTCTTGTTCTTTCCACGTAATCATGTTTTTACAGTTATCGTTTGCTGTATATCTTCCAGCAAACTTTATTTCGTGTGAAGTGTATTTAATTAATTAAATCTCTGCGAAAGATTGAGAAGATGAAGGGATAATTCAAACTATGAAGACATGGTTACATGGAAAAGACAAGAGTTGATACAATAATAAAGACATACATGTATTTGTATCCTGCTGGCATAAGGTTATAGAAGTTGATTGAGATTGAAAAATAATAATGAAAATAATAAAAAAAATAAAGACACATGTATTTGTATCGTGCTGGCATAAAGTTATAAAAGTTGATTGAGATTGAAAAATAATAATAAAAATAATTAAAAAAAGGAAATATTCAATCATCATTTAAAAGCATATTTGAAATCTGTAGAATAAACAGTTTTTGCAAAAAATGTGGAGCATTAGAGCTCTAGTAAGTCTAAAAATAAATGTAAACATCAATTAATAATAACTGATGTTATATATATATTATATATATAAACCAATTTGTTGCAATATTCACTATAAAAGGTTGTAAGGGTAAGATGGCTAAAAGTGAATAATTTAAAAGATAGTTAACATAATTTTACATAAACTGAAATATTTCATAGAATAAAATATTTGTAATATTTCGAAGTTTATGTAAGATTATGTAAAAATTATACCTTTACAACTTTTTATAGTAAATATTGCGAGGAATCGATTTATATGAGAAAAATTAAGGTAATTCTATTTTGAAAATATAAGTGACCTTTAAATAACCTTGAAAATCGCCGTTTAGGAAAAAGTCTGTGTCAACTTTTTCTTTTTCGAAATCCTGCAACTTTTATCTAAATTTAATAGAAAATGTATAAAAAATGCTCGACATTAGTACACACACACACACACACACACACATATGGGTAAATTTATATAAATAGGGTGCTTTAGGAGGAATGATCAGGATTCTAGGATATGATTGTACACATCATTTTAAGCAAAGAAGTTTAGATAAACATGTTTAATAATTGTTCTATTCCGGTCATAAAAATATACAAAAATGAATGATATAATCTCTAAAAACTCACCTTTAAAAAAAGGTAAAAAAAGGCGACCAGTTAAGGGCACGCCATTAACAAAAATTATCCATTGCAAACCCATGTAGAATCCTATCCTATTGCAAACCCATGTAGAATCCTATAAAAAATTAATCATTGCAAACCCATGTAGAATCCTAGGCAAAATTAACCATTGCAAACTCATGTAGAATTGTATTAAA